AGATTTGTGCTGAGACAGCGGAGAGAGAGATGGACAGAGACAAAGAGACTGAGTGGGAGAGAGACATAGAGCGGGAGAGAGAGAAGGAAAGAGAAAGAGGGACAAAGAGACTGAGTGGGAGAAAGACAAAGAGCGGGAGAGAGAGAAGGAAAGAGAAAGAGGGACAAAGACACTGAGTGGGAGAAAGACAAAAGAGAGAAAGAAGTGCTGTACTCACCTTCTATCAAAAACCCGTAGATGCTGCTCCCAGTGCTGCGTCTTTTTCCGGAGACGCCCCCTTGACCTCTGAGACTACCGGGTCGCGAGTCGCGTGAAGCCACGCCCACCTGGAGACTCCTGGTGCTGCCATAGCGACGCCCCGCCTCCTGGCTGTCAGGCACATCCCTGGACATCCGGCCACTGCCGCGGGTCACCTCTGACCTCTGACCCGGGCCGAATGATCCGCCGGGAGGGGCGGACAACCGCCGAGGGTCTGGCTGTCGTGAGGAAAGTGGGCGTGGCTCAGGCCCGCGCGGGTGGGCGTGGCTGGAAGGAGATTCTTGCTGCTGCTGAGAGTAGGTCGAGGGGAGATTCCTCATGCTGCCTCCCCGAGAGCCCGGTTGTTGTTGTTGTTGTTGTAGTTGTTGTTGTGAGTGATGGTGATGTTGTTGTTGCTGCTGCTGCTGTTGTTGTGGTTGTAGTTGTAGTTGTCGATAATCCTGTTCTTGTTGGTACGGGTATTGCTGCTGCGGGTGGAAATCCATGTGTTGTAGGGAGGTATCCGGATCCCCCCGGCCGTCGTACATCTCCCTCTCCTGCTGGTAGTCGTGCTGAATCACCTCGTGGTAGGAAGGAAGCGCTTGTTCGGAGGAGGAAGAGTCGTGGGTGGGCGGGGCTTGCTGCAAGCTCCACCTACTCCCGGGCCTGGTGGCATCCCTGCCGTCCCCGCCCCTACCCTGCTGCTGGGTCAGCTGGACGTAGTCCTGGTCACTCCTCGACTCGGGCCGCTGACCGGGGATGTTCTCTGAGCCGCCACTGGACTGTAGATAGTTCGGCCGGCCGCTGGTTCCCCCTCCTCCTATTCCTCCTCCACTAGGATGAAGCAGCGACGGCTGGCTATGATGGAAGCTCCGCCCCTCGCCCCTCCTCTGCTGCACCTCGCCGCGGACTTGCAGACTCCTCCTGGACCCGGGCGGAAGCTCCTCCCTGGCCGAGGCGTGGCTATCCCTGATCTGTCCCTGACTCCACGACCCCCTGACCCCGCCCCGCGGCTGTACTGGGTACCCCGCGGAGGAGGAGGCAGCAGGGGGTCCTGTGGGACTCGAACCCCGACCGTTGCGAAAACTCCCCCCACCCCCACCAACACCAACACCAGCACCCTCGTTGTAGTAAGGGTCCTGTCTCCTCTGGTCACGTGGGTCTACACCCACCGAAGCCCCGCCCCCGGCGCCATACGAGGGGTCACCGGCGTAGCTCCCCCTGCTGTAGGCGGCCTGGTGTCTGGGGTCAAGGTCACCGGTTCGGAAAGACGTGTTGGGGGAGGGCGGGAAGGCTGCTCGTTGAGCCATCTCCTTGTTCTGCTCCTACCTGCACAGACAGACAGCCAGACAAGCAGACGGGGGTGAGGGTCTTCGTTACTATTGTACTTTCTACAACACACATAGCAAAACACTCACATAGCGAACACGTAGACAGAAAAACACACACATAGAAAGACACGCACATAGAAAGACACGCACATAGAAAGACACGCACATAGAAAAACAGTCACATAGCGAAATGTGCACATAGCGAACACGCATCTAAAAAAAATCACACATTCAAAGAAAAACACTCACAAAACGAAACACTCACATAGCAAAACAAGCACATAGTGAACATGCACACAGAAAAAAATACGCACATAGTAAAACACTGACATAGCTAAACATGGACATAGCAAAACTTGACATAGCTAAACATGGACATAGCAAAACACACATACGCACATAGCAAAACAGTCTCATAGCGAAATACGCACAAAGCATAACACGTACATAGCGAAGGATATGCATAGCGAACAGTTCAGGTTCCGAATATTTCCTTGTGCATACATCTTCTTTGTATTTAAATCAAGTACATAGCAAAATTCGTACGTGACGTAAAGATTTCTTCGTCGAACTGACTGTTCTTGGCTAGATTGTACTATTGTTGTGATTATAAAAATAA